AGCAACTTGGATGGTGAACTTGGTCGAAGAGATAACAGAGAAAGATCATGGAGAAATTATCATGAAGATAGACAGCATGTCAGCTATTAATCTGGCAAAGAACCCAATAGCACATGGTCGAAGCAAGCACATCGAAATGAGGTTCCATTATCTTCAAGAGCAGGTAGCAGATGAGAAGATGAATTTGGAACAATGCAGAATTGAGAATCAGATTGCAGACATCATGACGAAGAGAGTGCAAGTCGAAGTATTCAGAAAGCTAAGAGTCATGATGAACATAGATAGTTTAGACACAATGAATTAGGTGGTGTGTTAAATTGTAATTTAGTGTGTCGAAACTATGTATCGAAAAGATTTGATTTGTTTTAGATTTAAATAGATTTGATTTAAGTCTAGAATAGATTAAATTTGATTTATTAACAAAATATATATTTTGGGCTTTGGGCTTAGAGTGTAAGCTCAATTATAAATAGAGGGAGTAACCTCTATTTTTGTAAGCAAGTCATTACAGTATTTTGCAGTTGCAAAGTGAATAATAAAGTTTTCACAGTTTGTGAGCAGAGAGAAACTCTGCAGAAATAATTTGTCTTGTCTTCTATTCTTTGTTTGTCTCATAATTAAATTGTCATTGTAGTAGAAATTCATCATAGAATTGGTGAATTTTCAACAAATCTTATTATAATAATTTAATTTAAAAATTTGTGTGAACCACAATTAAATGTGTGTTTGACTTTGCTGTAAAATTAATTTTAAATGAATTAATTTATAAAAGTTATTTTGATTAAAAAATTAAATAAAAAATCATTTAACTACAAATAATAAAAGTGAAATGAACACAAAAATAAAATGTGAAATCACTTATGTGAAATAATTCACGTAGATGTGAAATCAACATGTAAGAATTATATTTGATGCCAAAAAATACAAATAGCAATTTTAAATTAGAATAATTCTAAAGATAAAGCAATTTATTTGAAAACAACCAAGTATATTAAAATGAATTCGAACATAATAAATATGAGAAAATGACGTTTTGACACAAGTCTCTTGTAGTTGATACTAGTACTCATTTTGTTAGAAAAAATATAAGCAAAATTATTTCATTGAATGAATTACTAAACCAATACATCAACTTTATCTCAACAAATAGAATCTATCTCATTCCCCTCTTTATATTCGTGAATGTGGTGCCAAAATAAATTCGAGATCATAAAACTCCTACACCACATCCTTTTCAACCCTTTTTTGTTCCTACTAGCAGAAGCCTTAAAAGCACTTTTATGATACTCTCTTCTCATGCTTGACACCATGTTTAAATGGTGTTGACATTATTCAAATGGGGAGATAGTGATTTGTAGCAAATTCATTCTCTTCAACAATTCCTATATCCTTAACTTATTGGTTTAAGTTAAATATAGGTTTCGAGATTATTTTTAACTTCTTTTTATATTAATGTTTTAAATGTACTTTATCTCTTATTTTAACTAAAATTAATACTCCTACAAATCAAATTATATTTTGAAACAATTTTATTAGAAACAAATCGTGAGAAAAAAGAGAAACCTTAAAAGAAATAATTTTATTTTAAATTATCTCTCAATTCTAAGTGGTCAATCAACTGAGCCTGGATGATAAGTATAACACTTTAATTTAATTAGTATTTTATTTATTTATGTGATTTATTTATTTATTTATTTATTTATTTGAATAATTATTTTGTGTGTTTTGGTCGGTGAGTAGTAATTGAGAGAAATTATGCTTAATTAATTAGTTTTAGTGAGATCTAATTAAATAAAAAATTAGAAATTGATAGAATATGAGGAGTTGAGTAAATTTTGAAAATTGAGGAAATTAAGTGGTAAGCGGGAAGAAGTTGAGTTTTAGTTGAGCCAAAAACTGAATTATGAAAAGTTAATTAGAATATTATATATTTGAAAAATTAGAGAAATATGTTTTTAGAGTCTTTTTGTCGGTATGTGAAAAAAATAAGAATAGAGCAAGAGCATTTGAAAGGAGAGATAGGGCTTGAGAAGAAGAAACCACACAAGCTTAAATTGTGAAATGATAGAGATGTTTCCCTTAACCTCCAATAGAGTTTTCTTTCTCTAGATGATTGATGATAATCAGATAGATGATGATTATAACTTTCTTTTTATGTCATGGATTGCAGTGAAATTGTATTTTGATGTTATGACGTTTTCTGTTTCATGAGCAATTCGATTCAATGATGAATTTGATGTGAAATTAGGTGTTTTAGAGTATGAACATAATTGAATAATCCATGATAAAATTGATATAATTGTGTTAATCAGTGAATAATTGGCATGTTTAATCATGATAGAATGAGAAGTTGTATGTTTTGAATATTATAATGAAGGTCCTAAAAATGAAACATGTTTAGTTACCCGACGATTTATGCTGTAACTTTAATTCCGTAAATCCAAATGATGTGTCATTTGAAGCATTAGAGAGCTAACGCGCAGGGCTATATTCTGGTAGTTTTAAATAAGATTATTGAAGTGTGAATGTATGTTAAATGTGTGAATATATATTGTGAATTATATGTATAATTGTGTGATTATTGTACATGCTTATTGATGATTGCTGAGACGAGTGGTTCAGAGTGAGAACTACTTGTGGTGCAGTGAATGCATGAGTGATTACAGTCAGAATGGAGCTATAATCTTTTCCAAGTTGTTGTGTGATTGTTTACAGTCAGAGTGAGGATGTATTCGTTGTTGTATTGTTGTCATTGCATTGTGATATTCCATGCATCATATGTTGTCGTTGTTGTGAAAGAGACATGTTTGCTAATTTAGAATGGGGACTAGAGACTTGTCTAAAGCTCAGATGTGGGGGCTTGGGGTTCAGATGTGGGGACCCAGTTCATATGGAGAATCAATGGTTGAGTCTGTACCACATGCATATAAAGTTGACTTATGAGTCCGGTTCAGAGTGGGGACCTTGACGAGCATGAGTTGCATCGATGTTGCATTGCATTACATGATGATGAGATGTAGGTGTAATTATGAGTAATCTTGTATGATTTATATGAGTTGGATTATGATGTGGGTCATATGTGAATATACGATATCGAGGTGCACGTAGATATGTGTATGACTTTGTAGTGTATGAATCTATTCTGATTATTTGTGCATCGTCTATCATTTGAACGTATTCTCATCCCCTTTGTTGTTTGTGTGGTTTTGTCTCCTTTAGAATACAGACAAGCAGGTAAATGAGTAGCTGTTTAAAGTCGAAAGATGAGATTGAGATTGTTATTCTATTTCTTGTTTTTAAGAGTTTATATTTCATTGCTCTTATGTGTAACACTGAGCGGACGAATGATGTTATTTTATTATTATGTTTCACTAATTGAGAATTAGATGTTATAATTTTGATGTTTTTAATTTATGTTGATTATGGAGACTTTTGTCATATTTGCTTTAATTTTAAATAAAATATTTTTATGAGACTTAATACTTGTGTAGCATGATATCCTAAGTGAATGTAAACATGCGATGACATGTATATTTGAATCTTTTGTTTTAATTGATAAGTGTTATGGAACACGTGTTATAAGTGATGAGTGACATCCTAAATATGTATATGTGATCCATATTTAGTTTATTTTATAAATTGACGCGTGAGAATTTAAGAGATTATAATAAGCCCCTTTGATATAAATCCATAAACTTAACTAGGTTTGCAACACTAAAATATGTGACTCATTAGTCCGCAAAAAAATATTAGCCAACAAAGAACAACACTCTAACAACTTTCTTCTCTACTTCCAACTCGTTCCATCAACCTTCGTCCCGACCTCCACGTTTTAGCAACTAACACATATTTATTCACTAAAAGATTTAAAAAAGTCTTCTACAAGAGGACCTCCCTCCAAACATAAAATCAAACAAAAAGTACTTTATCCATTACCTTCTTCCTATCAACCATGTTTTCAATCCAATTACCAACCCCTTTATACACAATATTGAAATCTTTCCACCAGAGCGATCCCTTTCTATTACCCCATTTGACACCCCCACCCTTTACACCATACTTTGTCACTAACATCTTAAATCACAACTATATTTTTTTATTGACGTGGCATATTTTTTGATTGAATATATTTTCATTGTTCAATTATCTAATACCATATATATTTTTAATAATAATTAACTTTTATTGTTCAATGAATATTTTTTATTTATAAAATAATAAACAATTTATAAAATAAATAAATTTTATCTTTTTAATACATTAGAGTCTAAAATAGTTGATTTCATATGATACGAAATACAATAAAAAATATATTTTTCAAAAATATTGATTCAGATTGAAGATAATTTGTTCAAATTTATTTATATTCTATTTTAGAAAATATGAATTATTTTTATTTTTATTTTATTTCATAAATAATAATTGAACATATACTCTTATCATTAAATTTATTTAAATAGAAAAATAATTACACAAAAAAAATTGCATCAACTTTTTATAGAAAAAGGTTTATCGTTGAAAAATAATTGAATTGTACATAATACCGAATAAAATAAAATAAATATTTTGTAATAATATTGAATAATATTGAAGATAATTTCTTCTTATATTCTATTTTCGAAACATGAGTTATTTTAATTTAAATTTTATTTCATATATATTATTTATTTATATACAAAAATAATTATACAAAAAAAAAGTTTTATTATTGAGAAAGAATTGAATTTTTATTTTGGTAGAAAAATATTTAAAGAAAAATATTTTTACAATAAATAACTATACAAAATTAAAAATGAATTGGTCAAATAATAATATTTTAATCTGTTTAGCTTCTGTTGGAAACAACGCGCTCAAGTACTGCGCGTGAGATCCATTCTCCTCCAAACCATACTCTTCCCGCCTCTGTTTTTTCCCTTTAAATATCACTCTGTATTTCTGTGTAGCTCTCATCATTCTCATCCTCATTATCATCAGTTTTTCAAGTTCCAAGTTATTCTTCAATGGAGTTCAAATTTCGCGCTGTCGACATCGTCAAACCAACAGCAACTTCGCATTCTCCTTCTCCAGTCGCATATCTCCTCGATCGATCACTTCAAGGTAAGTCAAATCGAAATCCCCTTTTGCTTCAACAGAACGCTTATAAACAACAGAAAATAAACCGTTTTTTTTATTTTTTATATCTAATATAAATCGTTGTTGCTGTTTTTCAGTGGAAGGTGGTTTTTCTGGTTTCCGATCACCATTAACCGGAGAGGAGGCACTGCGGCGAGAACTTGAGAAGGAGCAAATCCGTCGAGAAATATTGCGGCGGATGGAGTTGGAGGAAGAAGTGAGGAGGGAACTTGCAATTGAGAGAGAATTGGGGATTTCAATACCAAGACCGCTGAATATTCATGGACTAGTGTCGCAGTGGTCAAATTCAGTTGCTGTTGGCCATATCGGTGCGTCGCAACCACAGTTGATTTTGCCTCCTACGGAAATCAAACCTTCTCCAGAGATCAGTAACGAGGACAAAGTTATAGTCTTGGTCAGTTTTCATAGCTTTTCTCATTCTCCTGTGTTATGTTTTGTGATCTTTTTTTAATGACTTGACTTAAGGATCTGAATTTAATTGCTTTGAATCATAAACTTTCACTATCTCTTCTTAGTCTTTGAACTAAAGAAACATCATAAATACTCTCTAAATTATTTTTAATTCATCAAATTACTTCATAAACTATCATTCTCTCTTGTTTTAAGGCAATTGAGAGACTAATTTGAGGGATTAATAATAATTTAAGGATTACTTGTTATATCTCTATAGTTCAAAAATCAAATAAAAGAGATAGTGATAGTTTGGAGAACAAATTAAGATTTATTTTTTAAGAATATTATTCATAGTTTGCTAGTAGCTCTTTGTTAAGAATATTAGTCAACTTGTGTATAACAATAGAACAGGATAAGAGAACAAACCTATTGTTGTTTATTGTATTAGTTGATTGTATTGTTGAATGACCGTATTTCGAAGTCTTTTCTTGAAGTCTTGGCACCATATATGTATACAAAAGTTATTTGAACTTACTTTAATTTAGAACCAATAAGATTTGATCATTTGTTCATTAGTGCATTTCTCATATGTTTATCTCAGTTTAATGAGTGATTAATGAGTACAAATTTAAACCATTATTGATTTTTTAAACCATAAATTTTCACATGTATTGCACAATGAGAAAGGAGACACGTAGAGACGAAAGAGACTTATAGTATAAACACAAGAAGTTATTTTAGGGTCTCACTCATTAGTCACAAGGGTCAACAAAAGCGTAATTTTTGTTGAAAAAATTGTATTTATAGGCATTATTCGTATGATGTTTTATTTGAGTATTTCAATGCAGACTAGGCCAGATCCTGAACTCTATAATGCAAAGCGAAAAGCAACAACATTGACTGAGATTGAGCCTTCTGCATTTGGTTTGAAGAAAAAACTGGAGGAGGAGTGGAGTTGTGCACTGTGTGAGATTAAAGCCACAAGTAAGAGTGGTTTGAATGCTCATCTGAATGGTAAGAAGCACAAGATCAAGGAAGCTAGACAAAATAGGAAGATTTGCATGAATAACAAAAAAGGTGAAAACTTTGTGAATGTAAAAACTACTGAAACAGTGAATACAATGATGGTTCATAAGAACGCTAATGAATCTAAAAATGAGGTTCAACTTATGGAAACAGTGGATGATAATGATGTGAGTGGGAAAATATTAAAAAATGAGAAGAAGCATCTGGAAATAGTGGTTTATAAAAATGGGGAGCAGGATACGGAGAAAAGCCAAAGTTTGGAAAGTATTAAGAACACTAAGAAAGCAGGAAAGATAAATGTAACATTTAGTCAAAACAATTCTAGTCCTCCGTCCACATATTCTGTATCATAAGAAACTCCTCACTTGATCAAAGAGATGCATAACTGAACAACAAATGTAAAATTGAAACATTCTGGATTGTGAGAACTCGGAGATTAATCTTTTATCTATAATATGAATTTTTCTAATTTAAAGAAATCAAAAATTGTTTTGGAGAATGATTTTGGATAGTTTAGATAAATTCTTCCAATAAAATCTTTGTTGTTATAATTTTTTTTAAAATTAAAATATAATAATACAATGTTTATTTATTATTCTATAAAAAAATACTATATCAACTTGCAAATTAAAAACTCTTCTATTTTTCTTGAAATCTCCTTCTCCCGAAATTCTCTCTACGTCTCCACTTCAAACTCACAAACAAATTCTTAATATGTGTTAGGCTATGCATAGACAAATTAGTTGAGTAAATTAATTTGATCAAAAAGTCATTTGAAGATATTTGATTTATGTATGACATCAATTATGATAAAAGGGAGTAGAATAATAAATTTAAAGTAAAATATTTTTTCGTCCTTTATCTTTATTTCGAAGTCCATTTTACTCCTAACTTTTAAAAATGTCAATGTAATCCTTTAAGTACTCCAGCAGCAATCAATACGTAAAGACACACGATCCTTTCCCATAACTTTTAAAATTTGCCTAAAGGTAGGGAAAGGTTCCATAGGTAAAGACACACACTCCTTTCCCATAAATAAGTCTATGTTGCATTTTGCAAGGTACATAGTAGAAGAAACCCCAACAGCAAGTTTCAAATGGTAAATCATATCCATAATTCAGTTGAAGGTTATGATAAATAAATTTCACACAAAGGACTAATACCAACCAAATCAATTTTCCATAAAGCAGCAAGTCACAAATCTCAGCCAGCCATTAAAGTAGCAATTTATTCTTCATTTATATCATAGTAATCCACTAGGGGACCATTTCCTAACCAGTCCCTTTATTCTAAGCATACTAACTTGTTTCATTTCCTTGAAGTTTGCTTGAAAATACTTTTGTAATATGTGAGTTTCTCTAAGTCAGCTGTCTTTCGTAGGTACTTTCTTTTAATATGCACAAAAGGTTAAGATAACATTTTACGAAATATTCCAAAGAAAATAATCAATAATAATTAACTAGTTATTAACTCAGTTTGTTACAAACATGGAACACACAAAAGTACAACTACTATTGATGGGAAATAAAACATAGTCATAAGTAAAAATAAAATAAAGCCATTAATACAACACAAAGCAAAGGAAATGGCAGTGATGACTCACAACATCAAACACAAAAAAGAAGAAATAACAGAAAAATATCGAGTGGCATCTTCTGGAACTACTTTATTCTATACTAAGGATCTTGGTCCATCGGATCCGAACCACTTGCTAATCTCTATATCATCATCAAACCTCATAATTTGACATCACATTTACTAACCTGTCAATTTTTCAAATCCCTTCTACCGAAAGATAAACTTCCGCAAATTCAAATTGAGAAAATGTTACATACACATCTAAATGAACAATAAATCAATCCTTGAAGCACCTAGATTCGGAGTCAGAGCTTGTTAAGATGAACTTTTACACAACCAAGCAAGAAATAATACATTTTCAATAAATAATATCTATTTGCGAACATGTTACAAATATTATTAGTAAGTTATACTCAGAATTAACAGGAGCAAACTCATTGTGGCATTTCAACAAACACCTTCTTTACAAAACTCAAGTCAATGCCAAAAAAATAACATCCATCAACAGTATCTAAAGAAACAAGTCAAGAATAGTAATTAGTTTGGCATAAACAAAATTTGATTACCTTTGAAAATTTTAATAAATTCAATCCTACTAATAGTGAAAAAATCAACCATGTAGTTAAGAAGAAGAGGATTTTGAGAGAGTGGGATTAAATGGTTAAAATAAAATAATAAAGATGAACATGGGATAGAGGGAGTACACAATTAATAACGAAGGAGTCCTTGGTTCAAATACTAGGTATGGGCAAAATTTTGGGTTTTTTTTATAGAATTTTCATGACCTTTGTAATTACATATGCCACTTAGCGTGTTATGCGTACAAAACATAGATACGTTAGATATCACGACTATAAATATAAATGTTGTTTGTTTGAATACATAAAAGACTACATTGATACTTTTAAAGATTAAGAGATCAAAATAGATCAGAAATAAAGATAAGAGACGAAAATGATATTTTACCTAAATCTAATTATATAAACTATCTATAGAATCTAAATGTTAAATATTTTAGTTTTAATTTATAATCAATTTGTGAAACAAAACAAGTTTACTTTTAACAACTAAATATGCCAAACCAATCGTTAGTTGATTCGATAGTGATTAGTGTTGAAGTTGGTAAAGAGAATTACGGTTTGATCTCCCGCAACATTTAATGTCAGAATTGACTACCAAACTAGACTATACCGATAGTGAAATTTTTTTTTGTCAAAAACAATTCTACGTCTTTAAAATCAAGTTTAGTTCCTTCAAAAATATAATCAAATGTACATTTAGATTATATAATGTGGTTTTGTATCTCGAAATTATTTTTTCATTGTACATATTAGAACTCTAACATATAACCACAAAAGGTAAGTCACATATGGAATAATTGAGATTATGTTCAAAGTGCAAAATCAATGTAATCCAATAAAATCTTCTCTTCAGATGTAATTCTTTCTTTCAAATCAAATCAGGATTAAATATTTTATTGAAAGAAATCCAATCTTCCAAATCTTTGATTTGAACAAACATGAGAATCCAAACACACATGTCAAGATGTCACACAATATATTTCAGACATCTTGCTTTTCTATTTTTTCTATAAAAATAAGCCAATCAAGAGAACAATAATCCCCCTTTTGGCTTTTTAGACAAAGCACTGATTAAACACTTCATTAATGAAGTGTGCTCTTTTCTCCCCTCCCCCCCACCCCTCCCACCCCTCTTTTTTTCAAAAGAAACAAAGGACATATGACCACCATCAAACAACAAGCTTCAGGATTTAGAACAAAAGCTCGACGGGAACAAAAATCAACCAGACTAGCACATGTTCAACAAAAAAACCTCAAAAAGAGAACAAGAATCATAAAACAGGAAAACAAGACCACCTACAATAAAAGAACACCAAAATAGTAGTAGTAGTAGTAGTAGTAGTAGTAAAAACTTGAGGTAAAAAAAGCTCCAACATTTTTCCATAAAAAATCAGATCATTTTCATTAACAAGTGCACATATGTTAGACACGATGTTTGAGACATCTTTCCCAACATTCAACTTGAAACTGAAATTCAGCAACCTATGAGAAATATCATCATTCTTAACAAATTCCTTCAACAACTTAGGATTTCCAGATCCATCATTCAAAATTATCTTCAACAAATGAGTCTCTCTGAGAAGCTCCATAATTTCATTATACTTTAGAGCTTCAACATAATGTTCTTCTTCATCCTCACTTGCAGTTTCCTCTTCATCTCCAACCTCCTTTTTCTTGGTCATAATCTTGTCAATAGAGAGTCTTTGCTTCTGCCCAATTAATTAATAATTGAACTTGAAACTTCAGACCTTTCCTCTATCATACACCATTATATACTTCTTATTGTCTTAAACATTACACTCAATAGTAATGTTCACAATAAACTCCTTGACCAACTTTTCATAACAAGGACTAACAGTCTTCATTAACCCAACAACTTTTATCAGATCTATAATCTCTTTACAATCAAGAGCATATGTACCTAACTCTTTTACAACATCAACCCTTCTTAGAAAAACATATTTCCACTTCTGAACACTTGTTTTAGAATGGAATGACGCATTTTCCAGGGGAGCAGCAACAACGTTCACATGAATCCTCCACCAACCTTTCTCCTTACGCTGGTGTTAGCTGGGATTTTCGATAGGACTTCAAAATCTAGCTCAAACAAGAGAAAGATAAAAATACCTTTGAACGAAGTTCTAGTTTAGGGGAGAAATCATGGTTGATGATTATGTAGATGACTGTTCGACGCAAAATAGGCGAATTGGAGGTCAAAATTTGGGTTGAAGAAAGTGGTGGACTTAGGATTTTTTTTCCAGGTAACAATTGTGGATAATTCGAGCAAGGTAGTTAAAGCAAGCAAACATGGTTTATCAACTACTTCTTAACCTCATCCTCGACATGAAAACATGGAGAAGTGGTTTACGAAATGAGAAAACATACAATAACGATGTGGAGCTCGTTGGAGAAAAACATGTCATTTAAGAGGTTATTTGTGTTGTATTATGAATAGTAGTTTCATTGTTATGTTTATGGGTGTTCAAAGATTACTACCAAACTCACACAAAAACTCAGATTACCCAACAAAGTGCGAAATGAGCCCAAGGAGTGCAATGCATATTTGATCACCAAATTTCCATTAATGCAAAGCTTTACATTCTACTTTTCTTTACTTTCCTTTATGTTTTACCGTCACAATCTTTATATTTCCATCCAAACTTTTACCTTTACTTGCTTCAAAATTCAAAATGTGATCTTGACCATTGTCGAAATCACTAGAACTCTTGCCGTTTTTACTATAACTGAAAAACTCCAAGCACATTGTTTTGAGATTCCTTAGTCGATCTCATAAAATAAACTTTAATAAGAGGCTAGCGATGTTTACCAAATCCCAAGATAAACAAATTGGCAAACCTGGTGGGACATTGTGCTAGTATTTTCAAAATAAATTGTTAAGCTTATCATGTTTTCAATCGTGTATGGTTTGTTTTGCATAACATAAATATTGATGTTTGTTTATGCATCAACTTGAGAAGTGGGAAATAATTGTCTAAAATATCATGGTCTAGCGTAGATACTAACATTTATAACCCTACACAAAGAAACAATCACAATGTTGACGTTATACCAGTTGGTAAAATGACTCAAAATGCGACAGTTTTGTCCCCTTTTAGGACATCCACCGCCACCAGATCAACAACAACAATTTCGTTGATGCTGGTGCAATCTGGGGGTTCACCTTTTAACCCTTC